GAGAACACTGTTGAGCACAGTTCTACCCTAACACACACGGGGCACCATGAGTGGAATCTACTTATGAAAAATCATCCACTGAGAACACTGTTGAGCACAGTTCTACCCTAACACACACGGAGCACCGTGAGTGGAATCTACTTATGAAAAGTCATCCACCAAGAACCCTCTTGAGCACAGTTCTACTCTGACACACACGGGGGCACCATGAGTGGAATCTACTTATGAAAAATCATCCACTGAGAACCCTGTGGAGCTCAGTTTTAATCTGACACACCCGGGGGCACCAGGAGTGTAGCTGAACTTATGAAAACTCAGCAACTAAGAGCCCTGTGGAGCCCAGCTGTTCTCTGGCGTCCATGGGATCAGAGTGGACTGGCCAACACTGGTTTGGTTCTGGTGACACTCTTGGCCACGGCTCACCTCTTACTGGCCCCGATGGGGACCCTCCAGCCTTTGATCTGGCTCAGCTCTGTATCTGAGACCTCAATCTGCAGGGGCAGCCGGGGCACCCACACAGTCATGTGCAGGGGGGCACTCAGGTGCTGGTAGGTGAAGTTCACTGTGACGTCCACCTTGCCTTTCATCTCTTTGCCATTGACGAAGACATAGTCACAGTGGTTGGACACCTGCAAAGATACAGAGAGGGACTGGGTGAGAATCTCACAGGTCCTCAGAGACCGCGTCTCCTCCCTTTGTCCTGCTCTTTGTTTTGTTGTTGTTGTTAAAACTTCTTATTTTGAATTAAGTGAAGGTTTACAGAGCAGATCATCAGTTTTATAGTCAACAAATCGCGTACCTCGTTTCATTTGTGACTGGAGTCCTTTCAGTGGGGCATCCCTTATCCCACTTCCTCTCTGTGTCTCTTGTTTACATTTCTCCTTCTTTCCTAACTCTTCAAAACGTTATCATTGCAAATGCTGCTCTTTTGACCACTCTGTGGTGGCACACCTCACTAGTGTCGTTGTACCCCCTGTAGACCTATTGTGTGTCTGCTGCCACTCATCTGTCGCTTTGTCGTACTGTGATGCCTTACATGTTGCTGGAAGCTATACCACTGGTATACACTAGCTGGGTCACCCATGGTGGACAGGCTTCAGCGGAGCTTCCAGACTAACACCGACTAGAAAGAAGGGGAGGTGGGCTACTTCTAAATGTTTCATCTCTGAAAACCTTACGAATAGCCGCAGAACACTGACAGATAAAGTGACAGCCAAGATAAAACCATTATGAATAGCACCAGAATCTTGTCAGATACAGTGCTGGAAGACGAGCCCCTTAAGTTTGAAGGTTCTCCAAATACAACTGGGGAAGAGCTTCCTCCTCAGAGTATGGTTGACCGCGATGATACGAGTGGAGTAAAGCTTTTGGGACCTGTATTTGCTGATGAGGCACAATTTAAAATCAGGAGAAACAACTACAAACAATTGTTAATAATCGGAACATGGAATATATGAAGGATGAATCTAGGAAGACTGGAAGTTGTAGAAGGACATCCTTCTTGGTAAAGTGAGTATTAGTGAAAAAGATGAAGACCCCCAGCGAGATGGATTGGCACAGTGACAGTGACAGTGACAATGGGTTCAAGCTTAACAACTGTGTGACAGGATGGCACAGGACTGGGCAGTGTTTCATTCTATTGTGCACAGGGTCAATAAGAGTTGGAGCCAACTACACAGCATCTACTGACAATTGCTTAGTTGAAAACTGAGCCATGGAGTGAGTTCAGTTCCAGGCCTGAAGGGTGATCAAGGGCCACATCCTTAAGGTTCTACTAGTCTCTGTGATTGCTGGTGAGGTTGCTAAGTGCCATCGAGTCTGCTCAATCCATAGCAACCCTGTGTAGGGTTTCCGACGACTGGCTGGTGAGGTTGAACCACCAACCTTGCTGCTGAAACTGACTTTGCAGTCCAGCGCATTAACCCACAGTGCCACACCAGGACTCCATTCTCTGTGAGAGTTAAGGTTTTATGTCATCTCAACTGGATCAGGATTGTCAGTGGGTTGGCAGTTGACATGTAGTTAGCTGCCATGATGAGAAATAATATAATGTCATCAACGCTATGATAAGTGCTGCTATGAAGTCCAGTTAGTTGAAAGGAATTTTCCTTGGGGGTGTGGCCTGCTCTACTGCTTGCCAATACTGGGAGTCATCAGAAGCCTGCCTTCTTACCTGCTGGACCTGCCTGTCTACCTACATCCCCCCTGCCAGTCTTGGTTTATCAGCTATAGGGGTCAGAAAGAAGCCTTCAGCCTGACACCCAACCCATGGGACTGACCAACTCTAAACTGCATGAGCCATTTCCTTGCTATAAATCTCTCTCTATATATGTTGTTGTTGTTGTTATGTGCCGTGGAGTCGGTTCCGACTCATAGCAACCTTACACAGGGTTTCTGAGGCTGTAAATCTTTACGGGAGCAGACCGCCTCATCTTTCTCCTGAGGAACCGCTGGTAGTTTTGAATTGCTGACCTTGTGGCTCGCAGCCCAATTCGTAACCACTACGCTACCAGAGCTCCTCCACATATATAAAGAACTCAGTCTAAGACACTATCTGACCAGCAAGCCTGGTCATTTTCAGATTTTGAGCTTTGCTTCACATTTTCTCCTCCTCTATCCAGAACCTTCTATGTGATTCCTTTCACAGCGGTTGGGTGTAGTAGCTGGGCACCATCTAGCTCTTCTGGTCTCAGGGTGACGGAGAATGATGTTCACGTGGTCTATTATTTTGTTGGACTCTTTCTAAGTCTCTGATTTTCATCACTCTTCTTTGCTCCAGATGGGGAGAGGGGCACCTTTGCTGGCTGCTCGGTGTCTTTTCAGAAGCAGGATGGAGAACATCATCTATGCGGATTATGTTGTATCACTTGACCATGCTACCCCCTGAAATGGTGGTTCTGGTCTCCCAAGGAGCAGGTGGGGGGTGGAGGGATATAGGGCAGGAGGAGAAGGCAGTAACTCGAAAGGTGTATTTGGGGATAGGTTTTATTGTAGTAATATCCATGTGTATGTAACGTTTTGGTAAGTGTACACTTCAGGGACATGAATTACATTCACCGTGTTGTACAACCATCTCCATGGTCTACTCCCAAGCAATTTCATCACCCCAAAACAGAAGCTTGGGGTGTACTTTTCAGGTGGCTGCTGTATACCAGGCTCAGTGTCCCCAGGATCTCATGAGAATCTAGAACTGTCCACCTGAAGAATAAGAGAAGGTTGTGCTTATCTACCAATTCTGCTCCCCCTGTCCTCACGCTTAAGGGCTACCTCCAGGGGCAGTGGCTCCTCCGCACTTGCTCACGGACCCGTGGCTTCTGGGCAGGCTTCAGACATAGAGCCAAGACACCTGGAGGGGTCTGTGGTCACAACATGAGCCTGGACCTGCATGAAGCTGCAGCTGAGGCTGAGGGCTGACAAGGGTGTCCTGTGCCGGACGTTCATCTCTCAATAGCCATTGCTCATGAGTTAGGAGCTCAGGGAAGTGTCTCAATGGATGGATAGATGAGTGGGTGGCTACTTGGATGGATAGGTAGATGGATGAATAAATGTATGGATGGATATATGTTTATACGTATGTGTAGATGGACTGACTGATGAGTATGGGTGGATGAATGGGTAGATGGATGGATGGACATATAAATAGATGGATGGTAAATGGATGGATGAATGGTTAAATTGATTATGTATGTATAGACAGAAAGAGGGATGGGTGGAAGAATGCATAAATGGATTGTGTATGTCTACATATATGAATGGATGTATAATTGGATTATGTATGTATGTATGAATGAATCTATAAATTGGTTATGTATGTATGCATATATGAATGGATGTATAAATAGATTATGTGTCTATGTATATATATGTGGTGTTTCATTCTTATTTGATTCAAGGATTTAAAATTTTAGCCTGTTATCCAGGAGTTTGTAAGCAGAATGTTACTCATTTTCCATGTATTTGATTATTTTCCTTGATCTTCCTATGACTAATTTCCAATTTTATAGCATTGTGATCTGAGAAGTATTTGCTTTGTAGTATGTTGATGTTTTAAAATGTACTGAGGTTTGCTTTATGGACTAATGTATAGTCTGGTCTAGTGACGGTTCTGTGAGCACCGGAAATGCTTTGTTTGGAGTATTCTGTACATATATGTCTGTCAGATCAAGTTAGTTTTTTGTTCATCTGCATCTGTTGAACTCCTTTTCACAGTTCTGTCCTGCATGAAAAATGGTATATTAAAGCATGCAAGCCGTTCCACAGGAAAAAGATGAGGTTTTCTGCCTCCATGAATATTTAAAGCCTCAGGTACCCTATAAAGAATCAATTCAACAGCAATTGACAACAACAGCAATGGATGGATGGATGGACAGACGGACGGATGGTGAATGAACTCATACATGAATGGATGTATGTAAATGGTTATGTATGGAGAGATGGATGGATAGTTGGGTAGATGGATGGATAACTGGATAGTAAATGGATTATGTAGGTATATATGTAGGTATGGACAGATGGATGGATACATGGATGGATGGGTGGACAGATGGAGAGATAAAAGGATTATGTATGTATATATGTATGTATGGACAGTTGGGTAGCTGGATGGATAGATAGGTAGTAAATGGATTAAGTAGGTATGGGTGGATGGGTGAATGGATAGATGGATGGGTGAATGGGTTCATGCAGTGAAAAATGGATAAATGAACAGTCCTCTCATCATGAGGCTGTCTGCTTCAGGACAAACAAGGATCTTGGGATGGCAAAAGACGAGGTGAAAGACTGAGATGGGACTGTGCCAAGTGCATCAGAAACACCATAAGCTAATTTGAAAGCTTCCAAAAGGACCTTGGGCCATGGCTCCGAACCGTCATGGGCCACTGGCTCCCTAGAGAAGACATAGAGCTTATTCTTGTAACTGTACATGCATACAGGGTGAAATCTCAGCATGAATGAAGTCACCTGGGACTTTTTCACAAAGTGCTGCACTGTAACTTGTCCTTAGCTTGGCTGACTCTTTCTCTACCGTGGACCCTATAGAAGCAGGGTCCCAATGAAACACCCAATGCTGAGCAGGGAGCATCCTCTGTCCTCAGACCCGGTCACTGCGAAGGCCATTCTGGGTCTAGTTTTCCTCTTCAACCCAGTCTTGTGTGTGGAGGGCAGCTGGTCAGCGCTAGACTGACAAAAGTCCTCCATCTGGCCCAGAGAGTGGTGGAGAGCAGTTGGGAGGGGACACGTGGCTGTCATGGCTAAGACAGGCTTTTGAAAGTTTACATGTTGACTAAGGACAGAAGCCGATTTCCGTGGCTGTCCCAGGATTGTCATTAGCATGTAAACACCGCCCTGGCTCTGGTCCGGCACTAGCACACTAGCCAAGTAGGAGTTCTGTCATTTCTCCCTGCCCTAATCAATGCTGTAATTTACAGGCCATTGAGGTTCCTCGTTTATTACTTCCCTAGCTCTGGCAGGAAGGAGCCCAGCCGGTCCAGGATACATACATAATTAACAGGAGTGCCAAGAGACTGAAATTGCCATGTGTCATAGTCATTGTCATTGCTTTTACTGAAGGTGTCATGAACATCCGGGGGAATTTCAGGACAAATTCATCATCTCCCAAATGACAAGCAGT